TACCCTGCTCTCAGCCCTACTGCTGTACATACAGCCACAGCTTACTTTTCATACTATCCTAAGTTTAAACATCGTGTCCCCCAGGATGCCCATCCCCACCAATGATTCTGGCTCCCACATGTTACCACAGCACCCTATCCTTACCACTTATTTTACTCCTTATCACACAGTATTTCAACTGTTAATTCAGCTGGTTCCCCCATTGGGGTCTGGTATAGGTAAGAAAAAGTGTTCTTAATACTCTCTGCTTCCCTATAACCTGTCACAGTAGTGGTTTGCCCTAGCTTCTCAACGGCTATTTTAAGAATGGACAGATTCAATCAATACAAGTGCCAATCCAATCCAGACCCTAGCCCAGGCACTAGACTTACTCTGTTGAACAAAACAGACCATCTCTAACCTTACAGAGTTTACAACCTAATAGGAAAGTATAAACAAGTAGGCATACCAAATCTAATTACAATTTGAAATGTATACTATGAAGGAAATAAATGGGACACTTTTTATAGCAAAGAAGGGTTATCGAAGGAAACACTTATATTGAGACTTGAAAGCTGGAAAAAGCATAGGCTAAGCTCCTCTATTTTTTCTTTTTTGAAAAGAGATTCCTTTCTATACCTCTGGTGAAGAACCATACCGTGGGCCCACGACTATATACTGCGTGGCTGCGAGAAGCTCGCGTTACGTTAGACGTCAAGAGTGTGGTGAAAACAGGCAACTAGAAAAGTACGCTGTCGGTTTCTGCCATACTCTGGGGTGCCTCCGGAGACCCTTCCATCCCCGACCCCTCCAACCCCATCTAGGGCTGTACCTTCTAGTACTCCATTTTAAACCCCCGCCACCCCCAACTCTCCCACCCCGTCGCGAGTATCAGCTACCAGGGCTCCACTCCATTCCCCGCCCCCTTCTTTGTCCGAGGTTTCTCCCTTCAGGACTCCCTTTAGCTACCTCCCCTCCCTCTTCCTGGACCCAGCTCTTGCCTCTGTGAAACCCCCATAAGTCGTCTGGTAGAACTCATCTTCCTCCTCTGCCTCCAGGAGGCCAGAAAGCCGGTTCCCCGCGGTCTTCCGGGGGGCCCGGCCCCCAGCCAAACTCATACCGCCTACAGAGACTGCGCCGCGATCAGAGGCCCCTCACCCAGCGCGGGTAGCGGAACTCGGCGCTCGACACCACTACCTGCGGGTGGTAGGCGGTGGCGGAAGCCAGTAGTCTACAGGCAGAAGTAGCAGAGCTTCGAGAGGCTCCTAGTCCTGTCAGCCGCGCCTTGCTCACTCTGCAGCCCCGCCCACCGGGAACGCGGAGACAACCTAGCTCCCCGTTCTAGCACGCGCAGACCTGGACTGTGGAACGATTGGGCTCGGTGACTCCAGGAGTCCTACTACCCTAGTCCAGAATTTAGGAGTCAACAAATTTTCACTTAGAAGAGGTCAGTTTCCAGTCCGTTTTCCATTCTGCTTCTAGTAGGAACCACTCTTCTACTCGAAGATGTTTAATGGCTCCCTATCATCTACGGGTTAAAGTCCAAAATCCTTGAGGCAGAATAGTAGTGTGTTTAAGAGCATAGCTTTAGAGCCAGCCATACCTGAGTTTGAGTTTAAGATCTTTTAGCTGTGTGACTTTGGACAAGTTGCTGAATCTTAGTTTTCATCTGTAAACTGGAACTAGGGACGCCGGCTGGCGCAGTGGGTAGAGCATGCGACTCCTGATATCAGGGTCATGACTTCAAGCCCCACGTTGGGCGTGGAACCTACTTAAGAAAATAACAAGGTGGGACGAATAATACTTATCTTTTAAAGTTGTTGCAAAGATTAAGAGATATTAATCTTGTAAACTGCTTAGCACAGGATTTAGTAAGCACATATGGTTAGTAGGTGCTAACTACTATTAACATGGCATTCAAGATCCTTCATAGTTTGGCCTCTCCCTGCCTTTCCAGCTTCACCTCCTGCCTCATCGTCCTATTCTAGTATCACTTTTCAATTCTTCGTCGTGCCTGCCTGCTTTTCCTTCTTAGGATTCTTTTCCTTACTTGTCTACCTGGCCAAATTCTGGTTCTATAGGTTCTATAAGACAGTAAAGTCTTCTCAGTCGCCAATCTCTCTTCCTGGCACAGTTTCCATAAACACGGAGGTCATGCCGCCTTGATTCTCTGGAATAGTTCCAATATCAAATAGTCTGTGGTATTGTCAAGACCCTGTATCAACTTCTCTTCCTATCTTTTATTCTGAGAGTATGATTGTCAACCCATAGCACTTGTACATACTCTATGATGGCAGCTATTACATTTTACTCTAATGATTTATGGGGCTGCCTCTCTCATTAGTCTGTGATCTTTTTGAGGGCGAGGACTTTATCTTCACCTGGTATACCAGGAACTCTCATGGTGCCTAGGACATTGTTGGGGCTAAATAATGTCAATTCAGTGAATGAATTAATGAATGACAATTGAATGAATAAGGTACTCATCCTCTTATTTTGTGTCTACGTTGATCTTGCTTGCCCCTAGCCCCCTCCATTCTGACCTTAGGGACTATTCTAAGATATGATAAAATCTATGTGTGTATGCATGTGTGTGCACACTCACGTTATTTCTGTCAAATCTGTATACGTGGACCTATTTTGAAATCACCAGATTGCTCTACTTTTCCAAAATATATATTGGTGAACTCCTTTTTCAGTTTCCTTGGAGCACCAAGCCAACATGTCCTGCTTTGCCTCTGCCTCCACACCCTGCCACGTCACCCCAGGTCTTCTATGCCAGGAATGTTACTGGGGAAGAGTGGCTCTGTGACTCAGAGGACACCCCAGGGATTGAGTGGGAGTGGAGGCAGAGATAATGTAAAGGGGGAAAAGATGAGAGACACCCTGGCCCCACTTTTTGAATTTTGCTTTCATTCCTTCATATATTCAGGAGACATGTATTATGCACCTACTTTGTGCCAGGCACAAAGATGCTTGAGATATAAAATGCTTGAGATATGAAAATGGGTAAGATGTAATCTTTGCCCTGAAATATTCAGTCTTGTGAGGAAGACTAACAAGTAAACAGACTGACATAATACCATGTAGTAGGAGTAATAGCAGCCATTTTCTGGTACATAAAGAGAAACAAAGACCCCTAAGAAGCTACAAAACAGGGATTTCTTCTTTTCAGGAGGGCTGAAATCAAATTCATAGATCAAATCCCAGGGAGAAGATCCCTCTATTTGACCTACTGCCTGTATGAGTCAGGGCTTTATTGGTCTATTTCCAATTTTTAAATCAGAAACAGCTTTAGTTCTACACCAGCTGATTTCTAAAATAACTCAGGAAATGGTAGCAACTCCATGCCTTTTATGGAAACAAGTATAATTTATTCAATAAATATTTATTTGACCTATGAGCCAAATCCTGTGCTAGACAGTGTGCTCCCACCTGTCTAGTTCCTGTACTGTTAGTTGGGTGGAGGGGTATATGTATAGGCAACTGTAAAATACTTCAGTGTCGTTCAATTCCATTGCTATTGAATGAAATGGCAACGCAATCATGTAGTTTGTCTACCTTCATACCCAATGGAACATGAATAATCCAGCAAGTGGCAGCAGGGAAACAATTATTTCTATCTTGAGAGAGGGGTAGAAGGCAGAGGAAAATAGGCAGTGGTAGTCTCTGGACTTCATGGTCCTAGGTTCCCTTTCGAGGACCCGGAAGACATCCGGATAGAGGATAACCAGGCCATCTTGGGGGCTGCAAATCAAGACCCCCCCACACACAATTTCTCTTCATTTACTAATTTCACAAATAATTATTGAGCCGCTACCATGTACAGGCTCACAAGATGGGAGGAGTTGGAGATACAAGAGTGAAAGTCTTTGCTTTTCAGCAGCTTACAGTCCGATCAGTCTTCAGCTCCCCATCTGGTTTTCACAATCTCCAGGGTACTTTATTAATCCGAACGCTAGACTAGAATGGGGAATTTCTCTGTGCAGTTCGGTGCACTGATTAACAGAACCAAGGGTTTGCCTGGATCGCAGACTGTGATATGGTCGCCTTTCGTGGCTTTTTCTGAGAGGTCTTCTGAATTCCATAACTGTGCCCAGCATTGCGCTTGAAGCAAAGTGTAGATCTGTTTTGAATGTCATTCAGAGGAAGGCAAGACAAGCACGCATGTTAAGCCAAACAGTAAACAAGCAGTAAAGCCGGAAGAATAGTCGCATGTGATGTTTTGTGATATTCAAGGGCTTAACGTCGCTGAGTTGACAACAGCGCCTCGGTGGGGAGCTCTAACCCTGGGCTCTAAAATTGAAGGCCAGCCGGGCAGACTCTTCCTTATCCCGAGCTCCGGCAACTCAGCCGGGTCCTTTCACAGAGACGAATTTAACTGGACCCACAGAGCCACCGTAGCGCTCGTTCACAGTCGGGGAAGAGCTTGTCTCCGACCTGTGGATTTAGGGCAAGAGGAACCCGTGTAATGTGACCAACACCAGCCTTCCGATTGGCTCTCAGGGCCTCCCTCTTCTCCCCCCGCCCCCAATTGAGTGGGCTGGAACGCTGGAAAGGTTACGCGCATGAGCAGTTCCCGGATTTCCCCTGGCCACCGAGTGGAGCAGTGAGGTTGGGCGATAAACAGGCTGTGGCTGGGGAGGAGGGGCGGGGGCATTTGTTCCTCTGGGACTTTTCACGCCCCCTATTTCGTTAGGTGTGGTTAGGTTCGGACGCGGGGTCTTGGCGGCGGGCTGGAGCCTACTTCTTTGTGAAAGGGGAAAGTAGCTCCCTCGGAGCACTGGTGAAGTTGCGGAGCGGGTGCGAGACGGCGGTTTTCCCCTATGCCAGCCAAATGGTGCGGCCTTGAGCTGTTTCAGGACCCAGCCCGACGTGTCTGAGAGAGGCCCCGGAGGGGGCAGGGAGGTGGCCCGCAGAACGCGGGTTCTGTGAAGAGACGTGGAGAAAATTCGACTCGGAGAAGAGGAAGAGCCCGATTGAAAGGGAGCGAGGCCGCTGAGGGGGAGGGGGCTGCCAAGATGGCGTCGGCCTCTTCAGGGCCGTCGTCGGTCGGGTTTTCATCCGCGGATCCCGGCGTCCCTTCCTGCGCCTCGTCCTCAGGTAATTAGGGCGGGGCGTGGGCAGGGGGCTGATGGCGGCTGTGCGATGGGAACGAGAGCGAGACCTGGGAGGGCACCTGTAACTGGGAATGTCCGAGGAGTTGCCGGTAAGGAGGACGGAGGTTGGGTTTTCAAATAGGGTTTTCTGAGCGGTCAGGGGGAGTCTGAGGAAAGGGTGGATTTGATTGAGGAAAGGGAGGCTCTCAAAAACACAAGCTGTCTTCGAGGAGACCGACTTGAGAACTTGAAAAGGGATGGAGATTGAAAATGGGGGTAGGACGGTAACAGAAGGGAAACCGAAAGAAGTAGACAAAACTGAAGTAAACGGAGGCCTTGTATTTAGAGGAATTACTTAGTGTGAGAGGCAGGTGGAATTCAAGTTGACTATGGGGTTAATCGGATAAAAATGTGGAAGAGAAGCCATGGGGTTAAAACATGTTTAAGGGTTATGTGACGTTTTCTTTGGATTGCTGAGGAATTAGGGAATTGTGGGTTTTGTTGGGGGTGGGAGTTATTGGAGACCTTTTTCCTTAGAGGCCTCCCCCCTCGTGCGTCATCCCTTCCCAGTGCCGACCCACGCGCACGCGCTCGTACCCACATGCATTTATATCAGACACCCTCCTTGTAGGATTCCCATTTCCAGACTGCCCACCTTTGGGAGGGAATAGGGCGTTTTGAAGGAAGGCGGAAAATTAGAATTAAGAGACCCTAGAAAACAGATGGAGAAGATGGAATGATGCACAGTAGAGGCTGAGAGAGGTTGTGATGGGAATTAGGCCTGGGAAGGATGGAGTGCTTGGGAGGTGGTTGTACGTGCTGTGGAGAAATATTGCATAATAGGAAATGCACTGGAAGAATGCTTAGTCTGTATCAGGAAACCGGCACTTGGAGCACTGAGCCAGGGTAGTTAGAAACTACTGGAGATTGAGGCAGGGCAGAGGAGCCCACAAGAAAAGCAGCAGATTGTGTGTAGGAGGGAAAATGTGTGTAAGTGTGGGGAGGTGGGTGGACATTGAGTCAGAAACTGTTCTAGAGCTTCCATCAGAAATGTCTGGTGTTCCACAGTTACTGTTGCCTCTACAGGCAGGAGAAGCTGTCAGATGTTGGATGCTGTACTTGAGAGGTTGACATTTCCTTAGGCCTGGGATTGCATCCTTGCCTTTTGACTTGGCTAAATAGAGGGTTCCCGCTTTCATATTCCAGCTGGGATGAGCTTGGCTACATGGTCACAAGTATCTTCTTCATAAGCTGCAGTTTTATTTATGTACATCTATTTTTAGTTTCTTGAGAGGTGTTTTTTGCCTTTCCTGTAAAAGCATTAGAGGACCAGAGCAACTTGTGTTGCATTCTAAGTGCGAAGGATGAGGTAAAATAACAGGTGTTTTTCTAGAGTAGTCCCTTAATTTAAACCTTTTCTCTCTTTCCCCCAATGCAGAAAAGAAGGTTGTGTGTAGTTCTTAAGCTTATAAGAAGTTAGGTGTTCAATTAGAACCAGGGTAACCTTGAAAACCATGTATTTATGTTCCAGGATTTGATTCAGCCTCTGTCCCATGGAAGTATTGGCCATGTGGGCAGATTTAGGAGTAAAGGAAAATTTCTTTTGTCACTTAATGGAATCATCTTCCTCCTCTTCCATCTCTGCTGCTTCGGATAGTCCTGCTGTCTTTTTCAGATGTCATTGTTTGATATTTTTATGTTTACTGCCAGATCCTACAGCTAGCAGTTAGTAATTCAGATTGTGTAAATGTTTTTGTCCTATTGTGTTTTCACCAGAAAATAAAATACTGGGTTTCAGTGGACGTTACAGCTCCTTGACTCCATGATGTTCATATGAGAAGTCAAAGTATAAAAATGTCTAAAAATAGCTTCAGATTCTTATTTTTACTTTTGTTTCTCACACCTTCCATCTTTGCTTCTTTGACAAATGTTGAAACAATTGGATTAAGAAATTAAGAAAAAGTGTTTATAAATAGTCCTGAAAACCTGATGGGATTTTTGTGTCCAGATCCATAGTGTTGACTTTTTTTGTGTATCTTCACTTTCACTTAGGTTTGGCCTTAGTAAGTTTAATTTAGTAAAATATTTCATTCTAAGGATGTGATTGAAGAAGAAGGATATTAGATTCTGATGCAAAAAAAGGCTATTAGAATTTTTATTTTATTTTATTTTATTTTTTAATGGGTTTTATTTGTGATTGGGGGTGAGTGTTGCTGTGTCTGGATGGTACCAGGGGAATTAGGACATTGACAAGAATGAGTGATGGTTTATGATTTCCTAAATTGTTAAAGGTAAGAAGGCTGGCTTTGTAGAAATTCAAGTAGGAGATTGTGTGTGTGGGTTTTGTAACCATTCTAAAACCAATTTATTGTTCTTAGATGTTTAGCTGAGCTCACTTAAGTTTTGGTGGAACTCTCTTTGACAATATTGAAAATAGATTCAAGGTTAAGAACGTTAAGATTCAGAGATAGATTGATGTCTTAGATAAGCTGCCTATAACCTTTGGAGGCTCAAAATCTTTTGGAATTCAAATTAAAAAGGACAGATTATTTGGAACAGTCATTCCCTGTCTAGAGTATTTCACCATTAAGTCAGAGCTGGTCTTTTATTCTGCTGATATGTGAAATACAGAGGTTAGATCAAACCATACACTCTAAGTGATGTTTGACATCGTTTCCCATTGGAATAATTAATTACCATGTTTGGATTTGGGGGAAGCAATTATAAATGAATATCAGCTTACAGCGGCCATCATCATGTGCTTGTTCTTACACTTTGTTAATAAAAGTTGATGCAGTTTGCCTTCTAGTCTCAGCGGTTTAGTGTGCAAAGGAAATTTACTTCTTCTTTTGCTTTCTCCCCATCCTCATTATTTGGACAGTGGCACCACTTAAAAATAAAATTAGCCCTGATGAGGTGCTGTTGACAGTATGACCATCTGTCACACCAGTGTGCAGAGAGCCTGTTTCCCTATCTGTAGTTTGACTAGTTTATCAAGAGCTTGAAATTCAGGGGCGCCTGGCTGGCTCAGTTGGTAGAGCATGTGACTCTTGATCTCAGGGTTGTAAGTTCAAGCCCTACATTGTTGTATAGAGGTTACTTAAAAACAAAATCTTAAAAAAAAAAAAAAAAAAAAAAAAGGATTTGAAATAAGCCACTGCATCCTTTTTTAAACTACCATGAAGGGAGTAAGGAGTTTCTGTTTTGGAGACTTGATTTGAAGGAGTTAGAACGTAAAGTTAGAATGCTAAGGTGTACACTGTTCTCTGAAATAAGAGCTTTGTAATAAAATCATGCGTGACTCCCCCAAGAAAAAGTACTTGAAACATTAGAAGATCATGAACCTGTAGTTCCTTTTTGCTTCAGACAAGAACATTTCTGAAATTGTGGCCCTTCACCTATGTGATTTTATCATGAGCACAAATGATTTGGAAATAACTTTATAGCTCCTTTCCTGACTTCATGTAACTGCTGAAGGAAACCCCAGAGAATACAGGACTGAAGCATTTTTGCTTGGGACCTTTATAGTAGGGCCAGCCTCATAAATCCTTGATTTTGGTGGCTCTCTTCTTCCCAGAAGAGCCCCACTAGTAAATTAGCCTGTAATCTGATAACTCCAAATGGTAGGGATTTTGTTGAGTATTTTGTTGTTGTTGTTGTTGTCTGTGTTCTGTCTTGTTCTCTAGAGAGAGAATGAGTGAGTGTGCACGCTCGTGTGAGGGGGAGGGGAGGGAGAAAGAGAGCGCATCTTAAGCTGGCTCCACTCTCCGTCTAAGGCTCAATCTCATGACCTTGGGATCATGACTTGAGCCGAAATCAAGAGTTGGACACTCAACTGACTGAGCCACCCGGGTGCCCATCCGTGTTCTTTGTGTCCAGTGTAAAACATTTGTACGCTGGTCCTTTACCCTTCAGTGCTTCTGTTCTAGTGGATAGTAATACGATTTAAGCCACTTTACTGGAGTGAGAAACTGAAATTTGAAATATAAAGATAGAACAGAATGTCATGTAGTCAGAATATGACTAGGTTCACCATTTTGGTTGACATTTTGTAAGTAGGGAGAGATATTGCTGTTTGTTTTCTCCATTGGGGTTTTGACACTTCTTTTTTACTTTTGTACCCTTGGGTAGATTCTGACAGAAAACTGACATCGGAATGTCACTGTTTTTGTTTAACCATTTATTTCTGCCATGGCTGCTCAAACTTGGTCAAGTATGATTATACAGATTTTTTAGGTGTCTAGTATCAGATATTAATTGGCAATAATGTACTGATAAGTTGGCTTTGGATTCAAAATTGTATGTTTTGTTGGTTTCTATGTGCGGTTCTGGGTTGATACAAACGTCTTCTGATTAATATTTGCCCCAATAGGTGCCAGCTACTAGTTATTACATGTTTTATTAGTCTGTGTTTCTTTGATAATATAATGGAAACTGTAGCCTGTGAAGTGAATAACAGAGATAAAACCAGGCCAAAGACAGAACTGGGGATAAAGAAAGAAGGTGGTTATTTTTATCCTTTAATCTGGATATTTTCTTTCCTAGAATTTTAGGATATTCTTGCTTGACATAAAGTAAGAGCAAAGTTGTTAGTTTTTTCTCTCTTTCTGTTGACTGGGTGTGTTTCTTGATCATGGATAAAAGTATGTTTGAGGAAGTATACTATTTTCTGATAGCCTGGTAGAGGGAATCTCTGTTCTCTGTGTTCCAAACCCCAACCCACCATTCAGTCTCAAAGAGAGAGTGTTTGGGTTGATGATATTTATTTCCTAGAGGAAACCCCTTCCTAGCCAGTTTCCCCTATCTCGCTTCACTCCCCCACCCTTTCCTATCAAAGGAGAGCATTGTTTAGTTTCTGTGTATGTGTTGATTGGTTTTGTTCATACTTCCTGTGAGCTTCCATCATTCTTTTTACAGTTTTCTATATGAAATGAACTTTCTTTCCTCAACCCCTCCATTTTTTTAAACTTTGTCTCCCAGTCATTTTTCTTTCTTCTCCTGTGA